GCAGAAATAGATTGACAGGTCTTTCTTTCTAGTGCATCTTAGTGTGGAATCTCCGCTGAAACGTGTTCAGCCTCATAGCCATGTGCAAGCCTCCACTGACAGATGAGTGGTGGCTGGCTTGAGGGGCACTGACTGGGAATCAAAGCCAAATCTCCTGCATGGAAGCTGAGAAAAAAAAAAAAAAAAAAAAAACACAAAAAAACCCACTACCATCAAGTTGATTCTGACTCATTAGTGACCCCCATTGGGTTTCCAAGGTGGTAAGTCTTTACAGAAGTAGTTGCCCCATCTTCTTTCCACAGAGTGGCTGGTAGGTTTGAACCATCACCTTCTGGCTAGCAGTCAAATGTCTTAGGCACTGCACCACCAGAGCTTACTCTCCTATGGAAGCCAAGTAACCATTATATATTCTAAGTCATATGAATAATTTTCCACGTGATCATTTCCTCACGTATGAAACAGTCAGGGGCCCTCACTGCTATCCCCATAGCACTCCCACCCTATAGGAGAGTTAGGACAGTGTGCAAGGATCAGGTGGGGGTGGTTTCTAACAAGCTCTGGGTTGAAGATTGAGCCCGGTCTTAGTTTCCTATGATCAGTGTAACAAATGACCACAAACGTGGTGGCTTTAAACAATAGACTTTATTTTCTCACAGGTCTAGAAGCCAGAAACCCCACATCAGTATTATTGGGCTGAAATCAGGGTTGGCGCTCCCTCTGGAGGTTCTGAGGAGAATGTGCACCTTGCCTCCTTCAGCTTTGGGTGGCTGTCAGCATTCCTTGACTCGTAGCTGCATCACTCGAATCTCTGCCTCTGTGGTCACACCGAGTTCTTGTGTGTGTGTGTGTGTGTGTGTGTGTGAGCGAGCAAGAGAGAGAGAAACAGAGAGAAATCTCTCTGATATGGACAATTGCATTAGCATTTGGGGACCACCTGGATAATCCAGGATTAGTGTCTCAATTTAATTGCACCTGCAAAAACTTTACAATATAAGGTAACTTTCACAGGTTCCACTGGATTGTGTTTGTTGTTGTTAGGTGCCGTGAAGTCGGCTCCGACTTGTAGTGACCCTGTGTACATCGGAACGATACATGGCCTGGTTAATTAGGAATAATTGGTTGTCTGGAAAATTGGTTACCTTTAGGGGTTATCGTTCAGTCCACTATAAACCCTCAAGGAGGGTCTAGACTTGGCAGACATCCCAAAAGATGTCTATCAGAGGCCAGGTGGAGAGCTCTTTTGGAACGTTGTTTCTCGGCTCCCCTGGGACCTCACTAATCTCCTCTTGTCTTTCCATCCATTTGTCTTCTCCTCTGGGAGCCTAGAGGGTAACTAGGCTTCTCTGCCCTGAGCAAGCCAGGGGCAGAGAAACCATACACGGAAAGCTCAGGTTGGCTCAGAAGCAGGCTGGGGACCAAACCAAATCTCTGGGGCTCCACCTTGTGGGGCTTATCTCTGCCTCTCCCTTTTTACATGACTTACTTGCATAAAGAAAGTGAAAGTCTGGAACTTCAGGCATTGGTGCCAATCCTGAGATATGGGTGATTTTCACTTCCTGACTGCCACCTCTTCCTTCACCTTGGGAACTTGTTAGGAAACATCCAAACGAACGAACAAACAAAAACCAAACCACTGCCATCAATTTTGACTTTTAGACTTCCCATGTGCAACACAGTAGAACTACTGCACAGGGTTTTCTTGGATGTAATCTTTACGGAAGCAGATCTCCAGACCTGTCTTCTATGGAGTAGTTGGGTGGGTTTGAACCGCCAATCTTAAGGTCAGTAGTTAACTGCAAACTGTTTGTACACCCAGTGCTAAGAATTTACTCTTCCAGCAAAGCTCCTATCTGCACAGACCCCTTAGCATGGACTGTTCCGTGCTTGCCAATACCAGCAAGTGCCCTCTAAATTTGTACTGTGGGGTTGAAGATCCTGACCCCAGACATCTCTGCTGTCCCAGCCTCAGTAGGCTACGATCCCCTGGGCATTTCTCATTGGTTAAACTGTTTTCCTGAGCCCTAAAGGCAGCCACTGCCTCCTCTGTCCCCTCCTCTCCACGGGACACTCTCATCCACCCCACATGTTCATGCAATATCAGGTCAAATGGTTAGCTGTCCCAGGGCCAATGCTCAGTAAAAGGATGTAAGAAGAGGGTGTCTTTAAAGCCAGGTAGAGAGCTGCTAAATAGCCAGAACATTCTGGGTACACAGGTCAACAGGCCTAGCTTTGTGTCTCAGGGAGTGGAAGTCCTCATTTAAGTCTAGACTAGCTCTTTACACAGACCTACTCAGGCCTTGGGGCTGGATGGCCTGGGTTTGAATCCCAGCTCTGTCACTTATTAGCAATGTGACGTGGGCTACTTTAATGAAACTAAGCCTCAGCGAGCTAACCTACAAAATGGCAATAATGCTAGGCTTGTGAAAAAGGGCGTAGAGGCTGTGCCTGACCTCCTCTGACCTCACAAGGGGAAGAGAGCATCAGCATGAACAGCCCAAGGCAGGTGCTTGTGAGGCTGGGGTCAGACATGCTGCCAACCTCCAACCCTTTCGCCAATTCTGATGCCAACCATTCCTCCCAGGGCTAGGTTTGATAATTCATTGGAATAGCCACACAGAACTCACAAACAATACTCATAATTGTGAGATTTATTAGGGAAGTTAACAGGCTACAATTCTGGATCATTAATAACTTGGATACAGTTTTTCAATCAGGACAGCTTCTTCTCAGCCGTGCTACAGGCACGCTTCTCTCCAGCCTTTGCCTCTACCCTGTTCAGGCCTTTGTTACAAAGATTTCATTTCTGCCAGCAGGTGCACAAAGAGGCACCTCCTTCCGCCAGGTCAACAAGGCCCCTGCCTGAAGGCACTCAGCTTTCTTGCATCACGGGCCGGGAAGCCCATCACTCTGCCTTGTGCCAGTCCCTTGGTTTGGCTGCTGCTGTCTCTCTGCCATATCTGCCAAGGAGGTCCAGCACAGGGATCTCAGGTCCAAGGACATGTTCCATTCCTGGTTCTTCTTCTGTCCTGAGATCCCCTTTCCGGCTCTGGAATAGCTCATTTTAAGCCTAGCCAAATGGCAAAACTGCCCAATCCCCATGTTAGGGTTTTAGACCTTATTTCCATGGTCCCACCCCACAAGAGTGCCATGTACCTTATTTACATTATTATCAAGCTATCCAGTCCCCTTTGTGGACCACAAGCACCTCACATTTGCAGAGTCCCACCCAGTCATCTATAGGAGCTCTGGTGGTGCAGTGGCTAAGGCATTTGGCTACTAACCGAAAGGTCGACAGTTCGAACCCCCCAGCTGCTCTGTGGGAGAAAGATGAGGCAGTTTGTTTCTGTAAAGCTTCACAACCTTGGAAACCTGAGGAGGCAGTTCTACTCTGTCCTATAGGGTCACTTTGAGTTGGAATTGCCCCTATGGTAGTGGGTTACTCAGTCATCTGGTGGGAGTCACAAAGACCATGGCTAGAAGGGCCATATTAAGTAATTTACCATACCACAGCTTATAGCAGAGTTTAAATAAGTTAACACAAAGCGACATACTTAGCACAGTGCTTGGCACATATTAAGTGTTGTTGTTACTGTTACTCTGGAAGCTCTGCTGAAATCTGTCTACCATGGGTGACCCTGCTGGTATTTGAAACACCAGTGGCACAGCCTCCAGCCTCACAGCAACATGCAAGCCACCAGAGTATGACAAACTGACAGACCAGGGGTGGAGTAAGTGTTGAGTACGTGTTAATTAAGGTCCCTGGGTGGTACAAGGAGCCCTAATGGTACAGTGGTTAAGCATTTGGCTAGTAACCAAAGATTGGTGGTTTCATCCTACCAGCTTCTCCATGGAAGAAAGATGAGGCAGTCTGCTTCCATAAAATGACAGCCTTGGACCCCCTATGGGGCAGTTCTACTCTGTCTTGTAGGGTTGCTGTGAGTTAGAATCAACTTGATGGCAATGGGAACGGGGATGGCACAAATAGATTGTACTTGGCTACTAACAAAAAGATTGGTGGTTTGAATCCACCCTGTGGCAACTCAGATAATATGAAATCGCAGTTTGAAAACCCTATGGAGTGTAGTGCTACCCTGAAACACACCATGTGTGTTGCCATGAGTCAGAACTGGCTCAATAGCAGTGGGTTTGAATTTTTTGTTTTACATATAAAATATTATTATTACTGATATTTCTCCTTAAGCAAATCAGTCTTAGAAGAACTGCCAGAGCAATTCAACACCCAAATGTACTACATATAAAATATTTTATTATAAAAAGCTCAGTTGAATGGCATTTTAGAAGGAACAGAATATCTCAGATAGATTTCCTTCTTCGCCCTAACCCAGGAGAGACTTGTAAAGTGTACCAATTAGGACGATTATCTTACTCAGTTATTCACTCACACCCTCAGAGAGCCAACAGCACTGTGGGCTCTGAGCAAGCCACCACGAGGGCCTCACCCTCACAATCACCACACCACTTGTTTCTCTTAATTCAGGAAACGCCCGTGTCCTTTCTACAAAGCTGAGTCATATTTCCTACCACAGCTGAGGACTCCAGTGAAGAAAGCAAAGGCAGAACTTGTTTTCTTTTTGAAATAAAACAGTTCTAGTGGAAGCAACACAGAACCCACCATGATCTAAGCCAGTCGCTGGCGTCCTTTCTTACTCCGTCAGAGGAGAGTTCTCGTCAACGATTCCGAGTGGAAGAAGGATGAGGGAGAGGATGCACATCATAAGCCCTTTGACATGATCCACAAAACAAGAGATCCCAAGGCACCTCTCGTCCCAGTTCCTTGGCTGTACACAAGGTCCTGTGGAACCTCAGAATCACTCACACACAGAGCCCCCCCACTCCACCCACACCCCATCCAAAGAGTTACATTTGCATATGGTCCCTCTGCTCCTTGATGTGACTGCAGTGGCTGAAGTGGCTTTGTGTGGAGTCTGTGGTGCTGAGGGTGTGAGTGGACCGGAGGACACACGGCTGAGGCGGGGCACTCAGTCGGGTGGCCGGGCATCTGGGGCCTTCTCCTGGACTTCGTCATACTGGGGTGGGGGAGTCAGGGGCTCAATGGAGGGAGGAGGCACATTCTTGTCTGGGAGGTTGATCCTAAAGTCTTTGAGGTGAAGCTTTTCAGATTTAATCCTTCGAACTTTCAGAGGCTTCAGGTGTTTGGCCAGCTTAGAGTTGTGTCTGTCAGGCGGATTCCCCAGGCTGGTTTCCACGTCGGCCCTGGTTGTGGGCATTGTCTCGTGGAGCCCGGTCAAGGACTCGTAGGAGGGGAGGGAGATGCTCATCCTGGGGTTCTGGTCTAATTCCCTCACTTCCGAGTAGTTGGTGTTCATCACTTCCTCGTAACTGGGGACATAGTACCTCGAGGAGGCTTCCTCCTCCTCCTGGCTGCAAGACAACACACAGCAACACAGAGAGTGTTAGCACCCACTTAGGTAACTTCAGATCACAAATAAAAGGCCTTCAAAGGCCAAGTCAGTACTGGGTCTACCAGACCTCATACAACCAGCCATGTAAACAAACAATGCACCACAGAAGTTTAATAAAAGCTAAGACTTACAATGTTTACTATGGGCTAGGCACTGTTCTTAGTACATTAACATATATGAATCAGTTCAGCCTTCCTAACAACAGTATATTGAGGGCAGTGGTGGTTTAATGGTAGAATTCTTGCCTTCCACATGGGAGACCCAGGTTCGATTCCCTGCCAATGCACCTCACATGCAGCACCACCGTCTGTCAGTTGAAACTCGCACGTTGCTATGATGCTGAACAGGTTTCAGTGGAGCTTCCAGACTTATATGGACTAGGAAAACAGGCCTGGTGATCTGCTTTCAAGAATCAGCCATGAAAACCCTGTTATTCACTATGGTCTGACACTGCTGTGCCCAGGTTCACCATGAGCTGGGGGCCAAATGGGCAGCAGCTAACAATAGTAACAACTATGACATAAAAAACCGAACTCACTGCCGTCGAGTTGGGTCCGACTCATAGCGACCCCTCCTTGGAATTCTGAGGTAGTATCTCTACGGAAGTAGATTGCCCAATCTTCCTTCTGAAGAGTGGCTGGTGGCTTTGAACCACCAGCCTTCTGGTTAGCAGTCAGATGCCTTAGACATTATGCCACCAGAGCTCTACCCACTATACCATAAGCACTATTATTATCTCCACTTTATGGATGAAGAAAGTGATACTCTCATGTTAAATGACAGTTGTATCTTTAAGAAGAGGGCAGGAAGTAAACAGCACACTCTCAAGTACCACACTCTATTATCCGGATGTTAAAGCCCTCTCACCCCAAGCCTCACAATTAATAAAAGTCAGATGGCCTACTCAAATGTCTAAGAGGTCCTTTGGCCAAAGGCAGCATAAAAATGTAGCTGACAATTTGAAGCAAAATGCTTATGTCCAGAAAGAGAAGGAATATCTACAATGTGAAATTTACACATATTTCAAATTGTTTTGTAATTTTATTTTCTGAGTTCACCATGAGACACCATGAGACTCAAAGGACAGGTCAGGTCCTCAGCCTTATTCTCATTTGACTTGAAAGAGAAAACCAAAAAGGCCGGACGTGTGTTTACATGTTGTTGTTGTTGTGAATGCCCTTGAGTTGGTCCCTGTCTCACAGCGACTCCATGCATGACAGGATGAGGCTATTGTGACCCATAAGGTTTTCAGTGGCTAACTTTCAGAAGTAGATTGCCAGGCCTTTCTTCCTGGTCCATCTTAGTCTGGAAGCTCCACTAAAACCTGTTTAGTGTCATAGCAACACACGTCTCCAATGACAAATGGGTGATGGTTGCACATGACGGTCATTCACTGGGAATTGAACCTGGGTCTCCCGCATGGAAGGAGAAAATTCTCCCACTGAACTACCACCGCCCCCCTTTTACACATTAAATAAGGTATAAAGCTAACAGCCATTTTCCAGGACCCTACACTTGAATCTTTTGGTTAGATGGCCAACATCAGAAACCTCATTTGGTTTTGCATATTAATTAAGGTCCTGAGTGGTACAAGGAGCCCTGGTGGTGCAAAAGTTAAGCACTCAGTTGCCAACTCAAACATCTCTCTCTCTCTATTAACCTCATTTGCCCCCTTACGTTCTTTATGAACTGGTGTGTGCTCATGCCTAGGTTGGGTAATTATGGGTGATTGATTTTTTTTCCTTCTTTGCTCTTTTCTATATAAGTATGTATTATCTTTTATTACCAGGAAATTATTTTCATTTTTTCAGAATGAAAATTCCACTCCCACCATAAACCCAAGACATGCTTGTGGCAGAAAATTCAAGCAACAGAAAAATCTGATGAAGAAAGTAAAAATGTCCTTGAGATGGTTAATTCTGTGTGTCAGTGAGGCTAGACCATGGTGCCCAGTTGTTTGGCCAAACACTAGTCTAGATGCTGTCCTGAAGAAGCTACATGTGATTAGATCAGCTGACCTGATTGGTGGGCCTCATCCAATCAGTTGCAGGATTTAAGAGCAAAAAGAAGTTTTCCCTAGAGAGTATTTAGCCGCTAGTCTCTAAACAGACAGTTACTCTTCCTATTGTCTGACCTATAGATTTTGGGTCATAAGACAGATGGAATCTCTAGCTTATTACCTAAGCTATGGGACTAAGTGCCTGGAGAACATCTTGCTTGGTAAAGTAGAGGGTCAACGAAAAAGAGGAAGACCCTCAATGAGATGGACTGACACAGTGGCTACAATGATGGGTTCAAGCATAGCAAAGATTGTGATGGTTCAGGACTGGCCAGTGTTTCATTCTGTTGTACACAGGGTTTCTATGACTTGGAATCAACTCAAAGGCATCTAACAACAGCCCCCACCATCATATGAGCCAATTCTGTAAGATAAATTTCTCTCTCTCCACATAAAACTAACCAGTTGTTGTCAAATCGACTCCAACTCATGTTAACACCATGTGTGTCAGAATAGAACTGTGCTACATAAAGTTTTCAATGGCCGATTTTTCAGAAGTAGATCACCAGGCCTTACTTCTGAGGGACCTCTGGCTAGATGTGAGCTTGAATCTTTCGGTTAGCAGCCAAGTGCATTAACCATTCACACCACCCAGGGGCTCATGTCTATACCTGCGTCTGCCCACCCACCTACCTACCTATCCTCCATCCATCTATCTTATTGGTTCTGTTTCTCTAGAGAATCCTGACAAAGATAGTCCCAAACCCCACCACCTGGAGATAAACGCTATTAACATTCCAGTATGTATCTTCCCAAATCTCCCTCTGATCCGACATTCACAGCATTTGACATGATTGGGACCTCACCAAAGACACTGTTTTATAACCTCCCTAACTGAGTGTTGTGGATATGGTCCCACATTAACACATAAGGATGAACCACGGCTTCACAGAACTTCACTGAGTAGATAATCTGACTTGATAGATGGATATTTAGATTGTTTCTAAGTTTTTGCTATTTTAAACAATGCTCTAATAAATATTCTGGTATAAATTCCTTCGTGCATTTGTCAGATTTTCCAAGGATAAACTTTTAGAAACAGGATAGATAGGTACACACATCTTTAACACCATCCCCGACTGTGACACTTCTAGAAGATTTATGTCAATGAGTATGTCCATCAGCAGCCCATCTTCCCTACAACTTTCCAACACCTTGGCCAATATAATAGGCAAAAAAAAAAAAAAAAAAGACTAATGAGTTTGAAAATTTATTGGCTGAACATCTATGAAAAGCTCATTGACCTCCTCTGTCCATTTTCCTCCTAGTGTGTGCATCTTTATAATAGAGTATTAACCTTTAATCTTCCCTAAGTGATCAGTTTTTTGTTTTTTTTTTTAAACTTGCTTGTGGCATTTTTGGTCAAAAAGAACACTTCCTCCCAACTGTAGGGGGCTGAATTGTGCCCTCCAAAAAGATATGCCCAAGTCCCTGTGCATGTGATCTTCTCTGGAAAAAGACTTTGTGAATGTGATCAAGTGAAGGACCTGAGATGAGATCACCCAGGAATAACCAGGTGGGCCCTCAAGCCAATGATAAGATGTCTTAGTTCTCTAGTGCTGCTCTAACAGAAATACCACATGAGGATGGCTTCAACGAACAGAAATTTATTTTCTCAGAGTTTAGGAAGTTAGTCCTAACTCAGGGTGCCAGCTCTAGGGGAAGGCTTTCCCTCTGTGTCAGCTCTGGTCCTAGTTCTTTGCCCCCTGGTAATCTTCACACAGTGAGCCAGCTATCTCCCCCCATCTCTCCTTGCTTCTCTATGGGTAACCTGCTCTTTTTATACCTTACCCTACACTCATATGGCCCTTTAATATAACAAGAAAACCTGTTCCCAAATGGGATTATAACCACAGGTATTAAAAAAAACCCACTGCCATAGAGTCGATTCCAATTTATAGTGACCCCCACTGGGTTTCCAAAGTGATAAATCTTTATGGAAGTAGATCGCCCCGTCTTCCATGGAGTGGCTGGTGGTTTGAACCTCCAACCTTCTGGTTAGCAGTCAAATGCCTTAGACACTGTGCCACTAGAGCTCCTTAACCACAGGTATAGGGTTAGGATTTACAACACAGAATTTTTAGGGACACACTTTAATCCATAACAGAAGACACAGAAGAGGAGAAACATGGGGCAGAGAAGAGGGAAGCAGAGATTAAAGTTTTGCTGCCACAAACCAAGAAACACTAGGAGCCACCAGAAACTGGAAGACGCAAGGGAGCCTGAAGCCTTCAGGAGGATAGTTGCTACCACCTTGATTTTGAACCTCTGGCCTCTAGAACTCGGAGAGAATAAATTTCTGTTGTCTTATGCCATCAAGTTTGTGGCAATTTGTTACGGCAGCCCCAGGAAACGAATCCACCAGCCTTCTCAACTCCAAGCATATATGCATAGCACATTGGGATGAACACACAAGCAAGCAGTCTGGGAGCTCTGGCCACCCCCAGGCCTTGCTTAACTTCCTTGGGGTGTTCAAGTGTCAGCACACAACTAATCCATTCACACCCCATCATTCGGGAAGCTCTGCTACAGAAGTACAGAGCTAGATGTAAAACTATAAATTGTTTCACAGGACCTTAATAGAAGAAAATAGGAACCCCAGTGGCACAGTGGGTAGCAGTGCTCACTGCTAACCAAAAGGTCAGTAGTTTGAATCTTCCATGAGCTCTGTGGGAGAAAAGATGGGGCAGTCTGCTTCCGTAAAGGTTACAGCCTTGGAAACCCTATGGGGCAGTTCCACTCTGCCCTACACGGTTGTTAGGAGTTGGAATTGACTCGACGCCAACAAATTTGGTTTTAATGGAAGAAAATGTGATTGCAAAGCCTCCTAGATGCAAATGTTCTAATCCTTGAAGTGTGCGTATATGAGCATGTTGGGGGAGAGGGGTGGCGCCATCCTCACCTGTCTTCCTCCTGGGCATGAGGCACGGCCCCTGCCTGGTGCTGGATCTGCGCAATCTCCTGGCCCTGCCGCTGCTTCCTCTTGTCCCGGATACTCAGGCAGATGGAGAGCAGCAGCAGCATCACTCCGGCCCCAACCAGCACATAGGCCACAGAGAAGGTCTTGCTCTTGAGAATGCCACTGCCTATCTCGGTCTTGTTCCCCTGGGCCGTCGGCTTTTCTGCAGCACTGAACCCAGGTACCAGGTTCCACATGGCCATGATGACCCCCAGGACCAGCATGCCCAGGCCGATGGCAGTCAGCGCATAGTGCGAGCCGTTGGCCTTAGACTGGGCCATCATCCCAGCAGGAGCTGGGCAAGGCCCAGTGAAAGAAAGAAAAAAACAAAACCAAACCCCAAATAAACAAAAAGAAAACACACAGCGGCAACAGAAACTCCTTAATGCACTCAACAAAATCTCTAGTGCCACACTAAAAAAACATCAATCAAATCCTTGAGGGATGGTTCCAGGCACACGTGAGACATCCTGTGCAGACAGCTGCAGCCCAGTAGTCTGAAAGGAAAGCAGAAAGAGGAGAGAGGAGTCAGCTCCGATCCAACCCACTCCTCTGGAAGGAGTTAAGAGGCAGTGCCGAGCTACCGGTGCTGGCGGGGCCTCCCTTTGATGCATTCCAGATGTCTTGCGCATTCTCTGAGCCTGCAGAAGGGAGGCTGGCTCGCCTACCCCACCCAAAAAGGAAAAGCCAGATCTTTCCCTGCAGGAGGCCAGAAAGGTCAGCGCTCAGGCCATTCAAACATTTTGTGGAATTTAATGAAGTGGAGTGGAATCTCAGCTCTCACCGGGTACAGCAAGGAGAGGGAACTCAAGGCATGAAGGAGCTGTGACCAAGAGTTCTAATGGAATCACCTGGGCCACAGGCATCAGTCAAGGACCCAGCCCATGTTCAAACAGCCTACTGCAGTCTGTGCACCACCCTCAATGGCTCCGTACTTCCTGCAGGAGAAAATCTAGGTTCCTTATCACAAGGTCACCTTAGAGAGGCCCCTTGCTCTCTCATTTCTTCTTTGCACCCCCCTCTAGCATTTCTGTAGCTGCCTCATCACACCAGCTCCCGTGTGCTCCCAGAAGCCCCCAGCAACTACAGTGGCAGTCTCTTCTTCCCGTGACCACATCTTTCTCATCTCTGAGCCTGGCACATAGCAGGGACTCAAAAAATGATGGCTGAATCAACATCAATGCTTGAATAGAAGCCACTCAGCAAGACAAGCCTCTTTCCACCCATATGGAGTTTTCCTTCTCTTAAATGGGCAGTAGCCTGCACACCCGTCCTCTGAGTTTGTGCCCACTGTATGAGAAACCCCCTTCCGGGGAAGTAGCTCAGGGACCCTGTGCCAAAGGAAGCAGCCAGCAGTCCTGGGATTCCATGACCAGCTGCTGGCTGGGAACATGGGCCAGAGAAACCAGCAGCCATCACAGTTCAGGTCAGAACACTCTCGGGCCCAAGGCCGGGGAGTAAACAATGCTCTCCTTGTGGACCACTCAGCCAGTTCTTACTGAGGCAGGCACTTCTGGAAGACAGTAACACTGCAGATGTTTAGATGGGCACAGTCCCGTTTTTGATTCTGCATTCCTTCCAATCTTTCCAGGAGGACGGCTAACCAGGCAGCTTGAAATCTGATGCTGTGGAGGTATTTTCTCACCAAACAACTGGCTTAATCCAGCCAGGTTATTAAAAGATACTGTTAAAATATTTGGGGCAACGGTTTTTTAACAGCTTGAAGTCTGTTCCTTCTTTTTTCACTCAGCAAATATTGATTGGGCACGGACTACCTGCTAAGCATGCCCGAGGCGCTGCAGGAACACTGGTGAGCAAGGTAAGGGTTGCGAGGCTTCCCAGCTAGCAGGGAGACTGTCTACAAGGAATAACAAAGTGGGAAGAAAGCACAGGAACTGGGGGATTCGGTAGCTGGTGTCCTAACCCAATCTGGGGAGGGGCAGGGCTGCACAGGAAGCTTTTGTGGGAAAGAAGCCCCCTGGCATAAAAGGGCCTGCACTCCAAATGCGCTTTACCATATGTGTGCATGCGTGTCCTTGAGTGTATGGCAAATGCACAGGTGTGCATACCTCTGGGAGGACATGTATGTTCATGTGCACATGCGCAGGGCATGGAACAGGGATCCTGCTGTGGACAGCTGCAGTAGGGACTGTTGGCAACAGCCCACCACACACACACAAGGGCATTTGTTTCTGAGAGTATTGCCCACGGCCAGCAAAGAGAAGGCGTGATGCAGTCCCAGGAATGGATTGGTTCTGCCAAATGGATCTGAGACAAAGTCAGATTGCGAGGGGTCAGCAGGGAGAGCGGCGTGGCTCTGGAAGCAGACGAGCTGAGAAACCCATTTGTTAAGCATCGGCTGAGTGCCCAGAAGGCTGGCCTTGCACCTGGGGCGTTGGCAGTGTGTTTATTAGATCCAGGAGGTGGGGCCACTTTAGTTTCCCTCCCCCACTCTCCATGCTCATTCTCAAGTCAATCTATGTCTTTACTGTCACGTGGGTGGAACAGCCTCAGAGAAGAGTCTGCCTCTTGACATGGTTCTGGTAACCCGTTGCTGCTGAGTTATTCCGACTCACAGTGACCCTGTGTGTTACAGAGTGGAACTGCTCCACAGGTCTTTCCAGGAGGTAATCTTCATAGAAGCAAATCACTGTTCTTTCCTTCCCTGGTGCTGTTGGGTGGGCTCAAACTGCCAACCTTTAGGTTCGTTAGTAGAGGACAGCAAACTGTTTGTGCCCCAAGAGGGCAAAAACTGGCTTTTGTGTGAGTGTGTGAAAGAACCTTAGATTTTACGGTGGTTTGTGACCCACCAAAGAGCCACTGGACATAAACAGATCCATACTCTCTATCTGAGGTATTAACATTTCATGGGTTGGTGGAACATTACAAAAAGAATTTCTAGAAAAGACTCCTTAGGGGGGTGATAATGAGAAAAATAGGTTGAGAACTACAGATTTAATGAGCTATGCTACATTTCAAAACACTCAAATGATATGTACCATGATGTTTATAGTTATCTTCTTCATGTGGAGGGATTAAGTTGATTTTATTCCCCTTCTGGGAAAAAATAAGAATTGGAAAACCTACAAATATCCATAATAAGAAAGTGAGAGAAAGCTTTTTCGTTTTGGAGTTGACAGCAAGGTTGTATCCAAAGGTAGCTTTAATCTACTCTGCAGATTCAGCTGCCCTCTGGAGACAAGGGTTTTGAAGGGCTCACTGGGGTATGTGGAACGGAGCTCCTCGAGGTGCAGCCAGTCAGCTGTTTATCTTCTTTCTGGTTTGTTGACCCTGGACGGCATCAGTGTTATATTTAGTAGGGTGTTCTTTCCCTTTCAAAGTATGGAAAGAAGCTAATTTTGTACTCACAGGATTTGGGCCACATGGTTTCTGGCATGTTCTTAAAAGGGAACAGCTTCAGTGGGCAGCCTGTGGTCCCAGGTGGGCTAGACCCACTGCTAGACCCTGGAGTTGACCCATCCCTGCTCAGGCTCAAAGCAGCACCAAGGGACCAGTGAATGATCTCATGCCTGATTTCTCAGTTAAAAGAGGCACGTACCTGTTGCTACCTGGAGAGCTCAGGGGAGGCTTGAAAACAACTCTTCGTCCTAGAATCTTGAGTGAGGGATCCACCTGTGATAAAACACAGTGAGTATTTCACTGTTAGCTGCTCAGAGCAGAGCCATGTTTTACTGGGTTTTATTTTTGGAAGCAGGGGTTGGGGTTGGGGTAGGTGCGAGAAGAGTGGGTACCCAAAGCAGCCAAGATTATGCACAGAAAATCTGGTGTGAAGGATAGTGACATGGTAGCTCATGCTTACAAAACCCTTGCATGGTTTTATCAAAAATGCAAGAGAAGGTGAATTCCACCTTACACAAATGCTCCAGAGAATAATTAAAAAAAAAAAAAGAGGAAACACTCCCCAGTCCAATTTTCAGTGTATAACCTTGTTGCCAAAGCCACAAAAGGACAAGATAAGAAAGGAAAAATAGAGGCCACCTGCACAGGAGCAAGAGTCCTGAACAAGATACCAACAAACAGAATCCAGCAATGTTTAAAAATAAAAAGACAAAATACATCACAAGCAAGTTGGGTCAACGTTAGAAAACTGAATAATGTCATGTCCCAGGAGGAAGGATACACCAGACAGTAGCATCTACTGCACCAGCATGGACAATTCTGACAAATAAAATGTTAGAGAGAAAAACAAACTGCAGAAGAATATGCCTAGTATGATGCCATGTGTATGGAGTTCAAGCCAGGCAAACCAAACAGTATATTGCTCTATTTTTGTAACATTATAAAGAAATGCAAAGATCATAAACTCAAAATTCAGGATAGTAGCTACCTCCAGCAAGGATCAAGAATGGGATTAGAAGCAGGTGGGGGAAGAATACAGGGGTATTTATTTATTATTATTCCTTAAACTTCACATGTATCTTATATATACTCTTGATTGGCTCCAAAAGCCCATCAGTGTGTTTCCATTACAGTTAGCATAAAATTCAAACTCCTTTGTCATGGCCCTCAGACCTTAGCAGATCTGATTAGACTCCTGCCTCTCTTCTATCTTATTGCTCACCAGCCCTCAGTGGCTTCCTTTCTGTTTCTCAGTCACACTAATAGCCTCAGAGACTGCATGTGCTGTTCTCTCTGCCTAAGCACTCTTCCACCATCTCTTTCATTTGGCTGTTCCTTTACTACTTCTGTGTCTCAGCCCAAATGCCGCCCTCCCCTCACCCAGCTATTATCAGCCCCCTGCTTAGTTCCCTGATGCCATTCCATCACAATTCACCAGTCTTGTTTTCTTTTCCTCATTGGCTGCCTGTCTCCTTCACTGCAGTGTAAACTCCCTGAGAAGGTTCTTGCCTGCTTTGTTCCCTGCCATAGCCTCAGCCAAGAAATTCACAGGTGCTTAATCAATATTTGTAGAATGAAAGAATGAGCATCTGGGAAGTTAAGAAGTTTAACTGATGTCCCCTGATGTCCCATATCAACCAGAGGAAATTCCCAGTCCTGGGTTGGCAGCGAAGAGGAAAAGATTAGTAAGAGCTAGCTTTCAGGAGCGCCCAGACACTCAAATCTTTATGCAAATGTTTGTTGGCAACATGCCCAGGTTCGATGAGCTTTCCATTCTGATGGCAACAGTGACTCTGGATAGTCCCTGGTGGAGCCTATATTTCAGTGGCAGACTGAGAGCCCCTGAGCTCTTCCAACCTGGGCTGTCTTTACCACATATATACCCTTAACCAACCAGAGCCTGGGCAGGCTCTCCCTGGAGGTG